GAATGGAGGCAAAATACATTTTGGTGTAGGTCTGCAGCTATTATGGCATACTAATTACAATCTGTATTCAACAGCAAGCAATACAGGTCTATAGGATGGATCTTCAAATGTCAGATTGAGCTCCTGAAGCCAAAGAGACATTGGCTAGAGTCATACATTCTGCTGAGCCACATCCAAATTACTATGTGGCTTAGTGTTATATGGGAACCTAAGCAACATAGCCAAAGATAATTCAGCTGCCAATTCTTACTCTTCTTTAGAACCTAATGGCAAAAAGTTCAAAAGCAAATTAAAAATGGAAATAATAGCCATGACCATTTTTTTATGGGTGGGTCAAAGAGCTATATAATAAGGATTTCTCCAGGGACTCCAAGCAGGCATGTATGAACTGTAACTTAGAGCAAATACAATATTTGTGAAATATACCAATTCAACTATTCTGTAGTTGAAAAAAGTTGAACGTATGTCAATTCTTTCATGAAGAATTCTCATTACTGTATTAGTCCATGATATGCCACAGAAAAGGCAACACTTAGTTTTCTGTTTGTGCAATGTTTCTTTATGAATACAATGATCCTGTCATTTCCAACTCAGGTTTGCATTCATATAATTGGGCATAATTCTTCAATTCCTGGCCCCTCTGGTAAGCAGGCAAAGTTAATGAACTATGGCACTATCATCCATGAACTCTTAGGATATCATGAGCCAGGATGCTGGATTGTTCCAAATTCCTGATTCAGAAGTAACAAACCTTGGATGGAATTATCCAAGGTTTGTTACTCCTACTCACAGAATGAACTTGTGAGCAAACAGAAAAGCATGCAGCTGCTTGGTCACTAGTAACAAATTGCCATACAAAAGTAGTCAATACCTTTCAATCAACCTAAACTGAAAACTGAATTAAAATGAAACCATTTAGAGTAGAATTGTTATGGCCACATCCAGAAGACATTGCTTGTATTTTACAACGTGCAGAGATTTAGTTATTGCCCTTCCTACCTCCTCTAGCATACCAAATTACCATAAATAGAATCATGTATGGAAGAATGAAGCAACAAGCACAGGGCATTCATTCTTTTTTAGCGGCTGATTTAATTAAAATCACGGCTATCATTTCCAGGAAAGTCCAGTATTAGTCTTTGTTTTTGCTGTACTTTGCTGACTTGTAAAATAGCAGTCTTACAGGCTTGATTTTTCAAGAAAAAAAAGATGAAAAGCAAAGCACCCTTGAAAAATCTTAGCAATTCCAAATGGATCGGGAAAACAAATTTCAAATCCTAAAGTTAAACTGTGATGAATATTCACAGAAAAACTCAATCATAGAAAACATTATATTCTACAATATGATCTTAAGTCTAGTTGATACAAAAGTGAATGCATTATGAGCTCCACCCAACATTGCTCTGCTTGTTCTAAAAATATCAAGTAATGCTGTCATCTTGTGAGACTGAGCTATCCCGTAATTTTGGCAACAGTAGGAACAGCCAGCTTCCAATTATCTTTCTTGAATCTTATGAACATAATGGCCTTTAGAAAAGCACAGAGAAAATCTCAAATAACTGGAAGTTTGTAGTGTATTATGCCCACAAAATTATTTACCAAACTATCCCTGGCCCTTGATTAGCTGGTTTTTCAGAACCATACGCTGTATAATCCCCTCCCAAAAGTTCTCATTGCTTCTCTGGAAAAAAAAGAAAGAAAGAAACTGGAGTTTCTGCAAAGCAGTAAAAGAGACTGACTTTACGTTTACACATACTAAGACCAATGAGAGAAAAATTTAGCAAATGTGTATATTCTAAGAATATAGGGGTTGGGGGCAACCATAAATAATGGCCAGCTAATGAACCAAGTCACCATCACTTACTATATTTTATAAGTTAATTGATTCACCTCCTTCAGTGTTTTTCTCTAGCACTGCAAGTATGGAACGTATGCTTTTGAACGAATGTTGCCTGCAAATAATGCTACAATATGGGATAATCAACATTATTATAGTTTTCCTAAGTGGCTTTAAATTACTCCTACAATGTTTTTGTTTTACTCTTTGCTTTACTGTAAATATACTGATTTAAGTTATCTTCATAAATTATAAATATGTATTATGTATTAAGAGTTCATGTGTACAGGTTTTAGTTTTGAAGAATAAATAGTGGTTCCATTTGTTTATTCTGCTAGAAGTCCTACTGATTTCAATGGAGCTTATTACTTTGTGTGACCAAGGCTAACTGAAATTGTTAGTACACAATTCAATTGCTTGCAGTGATGCTAATCAGTATCCTAGAATACTGAAAGAATTCTTAACCAGGAGAGAGGGAGGGAGGGAGGGAGGGAAGGAAGGAAGGAAGGAAGGAAGGCTAACTCTAAGCCAAGTGATGAACTGTATGCGCTTTCATGATGGAACAGTCATTTCTTCTTTTCTGGTACCTTACTCTAGTTTCATGTTGTGAGAAATAGAGTCACAGAAGTATTTTTGCCAACAAAATTGCTTGCTGTAGGAAATGAGACATGAGGACTTCTTGCCAATCAAAATACTGCTTAAATCTAAGCAGCAGAAGTCAGTATAATGCTTAGACTTCTTGAAAATGTGCCTGAGCTTTCTTTGCTAGGAATCTGATAATCATGACTGCACCCTCCCATAGCATTTTTGGCCAAGGGTTACAGTAGTAAACTGCATGCCACTGAAAGTTTTTACTCCTGTTAAAAATCCATACTATATATGATCAAGTACTACGCTAATTTCAATATTTCAGACATTTTTTGTCAAAACCCAACCTGGCCCCAAACTTAAACCACGTTTTATGTGAAAATGTCAGTAAGTTTTTATTTGCAAGACAAATGGTACCTAAATTGGGTAAATGATATTGGCATAGGGAACCCCCAAGGCTTTGATTAAGGACCTCTACAACTGCTTTGTTTTTTTCAAAATCATAGCGATCAATTTCCTCTCCCAATGTCCTGCTCTGAAAGCCTGACTCTTATTTCGAAGCATTAGCTATTATTCCAAAGTAACAGAGTCACATAATCTTGTCACAGGATACTTGGAGCTTATCTGGGTGGAAAAGTAACTTTGGGAAGCAATTTGACAAGAAAAACAATATGCAATGTCTGGTTTGGTTCTCAATTGCTAGTTGTTTACAGTGTCTCTACTTGTGACCAGAGAAAATAAATGAGTGATAACATATGTGGTAACAGCTTCACTCAAAGAAGCTATGATGAGATAGCTAGCTTATCAGACTGGAAAATGTGAGCCTTTCTGTGAATTTATTTCAGAGAATATTGTAGTTATATATCTATATATCCGTAACTTTTTCTGGCTTCTGCCTCGCTTCATGTCTCCCTTAGGGCCTTTTCCCACTTGCATCTAACCATGATACAAACATGCCTCGGTAACATCTTTTTTCTGCTCTCTCCTAATAATGATGTTGCTTTTCTCTCATTGGCAGCCCATAAATGAGACAGACTTAAGTCATTCTTAGCTCTACAGGTGTTAAAGTGGTGTTTTTCCTCTTTAGTCAAGAACATCCAACAGCAGCCACAATGTGTATGTAACATTTGTCCTGCTTTGCCACCATTTATATCAGGGATGGAGTGAGATGGCCAGGTAGCAGCAGGTGGGATTAGAGAAGCTCTCATTGGCTGTTTCAGACTGATATGGATGCACCCCTCCCCTCCGTCCCTGGTCAGTCTGGTCTGCCACTGTTCTGCTTTTGTCTCCCTAAAGTGGGGTGCTGTGCTGGTGGTCTAGCAGAGCTATGCAAAAGCAACCGACTGTTCAGCCAGCAGTACTGTTAGTGCTTTAACTCTATGACCCTTACCAGTTTAGCATAAGACTGAGATAGGAAAACAGTGGAATGATTGACCAACCCTTCCTCACTGCCTCCCTAACAGAACATGAAGGAATCTGGAAGTCATCATTTGTTGCCTATATAAAGGGGGGAAGGGAAGGGAAGGGAAGGGAAGGGAAGGGAAGGGAAGAGAAGAGAAGAGAAGAGAAGAGAAGAGAAGAGAAGAGAAGAGAAGAGGAGAAATCTTAAATGAAAGTGCAGCAACCCAGTTCCCTTTGCGATTCTGATATTTTAAAAAAAATTCATCTTGGAATCCAGCACAATGAGGTGTAAGAGGATGGATACAGGAAGGAGCCTAGAAAAGATGGACTGTAGCTGGATCTGCCCCACTTCTGCTTTGGCGCTGTCACTGTCAGATAGTTTCCCTGATGGTTGGCAATACACAGAAGAGAAAGGACAGCAAAGCCAGAGGAATCTGCTAATCTCCTTGCTTATCGTTCACTACACATGGAAAACCAGGACCATACTGTTCAGCAGTGAGCCAAAACAGACAGGTTAGAGGCAGAATAAGGATTGGCAATGCGAGCAGCAAATGTTGTTCTAGGATGATTTTTGGGGGGGGGGGGTCAACTCAAAGAAGGGTAGGTAGCACTTTAGCTCAATGATGCAATTTGGAACTAACATTCAGAATAAATATTACAAACGAATGAAATCCCACGCAGTGATTTTTTGGAAATTACAAAACAATCACCAAGTGGATAGAGCCACAAAGAAAACAGTTTTGTGAAAAGGTTCAACAAATTCATTTTGCCATTATTTTTACCAGTACTGTACTATTAAACATTCTCATAATAAGAACCAACATTCAAAGTTATAATGAATAAAGGAGTTGGGTAGCCAAAGAAACAAATGAGACATGATATGTTCCCACGTTGCCATTTATCAGGAGCTGATAATGAGTAGGATCTGGGAATAAAATACGTGAACATCTCTCAATAAAGTATGCTTATAGAACACAATGGAGAAAACTGAAATTAAATCAGCCTTTAGTTACTGCTATGGGAAGCTCTTATATAATTGGAGTGCACAGTGTTGTAACCTAACCCTTAGTTTGGTCTGGATGTTTGCTGTAAAAACTGTACTTGTCCTCTTTAAAAGCTATATTTACATATTGTAAAGTATAGTATTGAATGCAACAGACTAAACATTGCTAACCTGCTTTGCCCATTTTCCCCTCTTTGCATAAATCCTTCAGCCTGGAACCCAACTCTGTGATGAAGCTTGCTTAGCACCAGTGAAGTTTCCCACATTCAGAGTAACAACATTCTGGGCTGAGATGAGGGAATCAAAATTAAAATCCAATCCATCTGCATCCATGAGTTCACTGCGGATAATGGACTCCATGTCGCATTCCAAGCTCCCATTGAAAATATCCAGATCCAAATCACTGGGGAATTTATCATGCCCCATGACTGGAAGGCTCACACTGTTGGAATACAAAGAAGAGCCTGAGAGGGAGTCAGAAAGCGATTGCATAGACTGGTTGGCAGGTGGTTGTTGCTGGTGTTTTGCTGATCCAATGTTTGTGTCACTTAAGCCCATAGTACCGGCAGAATTTGACAAGGCACGGCTGCCACTGAGAGAGGAATTCTGGGATTGATGCTGGTGGTGGAGCAGATTCTGGTTGGCCAAACTGCTCTGACTTGGTTGAGCAGCAAATGACATCATTGGATCATTCCGGAGCATAATATTTCTGCGTGCGTTTTGGGCAGACACAGCAGTGCTAGCTTGTGACATGAGTGGATCGGACTGAGTCATCATGACGTCACTGTGGCTATGTGAATCCGATGCCAGCAGATCCTGCAGAGTTTGGTTATTGTAGTGCGAAATGGAAGAAAATGTAGCTTGCTTGTTCTCTTGGATGGTTTGCATGGGAGACTGACGGAGAGAATTCAGAGATGATGGTCCAAACACAACATTATTGAAACTACTTGATGGAGAACCAAGCCCTGAACCTTTGGAGCCATATGGAAAACTTGAGCTTCTTTGCATGAGTCCCCCTGTAGGTGACTGCTGGGAAGGGGGAAGGGTTATATTGTCCAGGAGATCATCCATAAGATTATCCGTCAAGCCATCATTCAAGTTCATAGTGCCTGCCATGTCAGTCAACCTAGGCAGCTCAACATTACAGGGCTTGCTTACTGATGGGGACATGCTGGGTGGGCTACTGTACAACATGGGGGAAAGTGGAGCATCGTCATCCTGAACCTCATCTAGTTCAGTACTTGCCAATATTGGTGACAGGCGGCCACTTATTGTACTGGCGTTCGAGTTGGTACGAGACCGGAAATCTGTCCATGCATCCAGTTCATCACTGCTACGGGAAGTTGGGCTACCAGGCCACTTGGACAGCTGGGAGGGGCTGTCTTCACTGGTCTCCTGTGCAGCTTGAAGGGCTGCTTTTTTCTTAGCTGCTCGTCCTCGGCTCTTTGTGTATTTGTTGCTGTTGTCCATCGACACAGCACGTCTCCGTGGTGCTTTCCCACCTTTTCCACCATCTGGGTTGATCATCCACCACGAGCTTTTCCCAGTTCCTTCGTTCTGTACCCTGATGAATCGACTGTGAAGGGACAAGTTGTGTCTGATTGAGTTCTGCAAAGACAACACACAAAATCCCCCAAATTTAGAATATTTTCATGTAAATTCCATTATTCAATATAATACTTAAGTCAATACATAAAAAACATTAAGGGAAAAATAAATCCTCCATTACTGTTACTACTTCTCTGGTTTTTAATAAGTTGTTCAGATACTAGAGTGAATACAGAATTCAGTATAGGAGTCATTATAAAATTCAAGATATTTCTGCATAGCATGAATATAATGAATGCATAGATAAGTCCTTTCCCGAGAAAGTGCATTTAGCACTGATGCTATTGCTGTAAGCACATAGCTTGGGTGATGAAGTGCAGTTTCCTAAACAGATTCTCTTAAGTTGTGTTCATTAACTAAAGGAGAATCTTGATCTGTCTTTCATTTAAAAAGCCTCCCATTAAAATGGTTACCAAAGTAATCAGATGCATAGAAAATCAGGATAATTAATATAGATATCCTATGATCCCAAGCACTTATAGTCAAGAACCAGTTCTACAACTCACTTATTTCTAAATCATACTGTACAAACTGAGAGTGTAAAGTAAAACCTGTTGGACATGTTTTAACCTAATGGTCTCCTGTAAATAGCAACAACTATGTTTGTTTATTACTTTTTCCTCATCTTCCCTTTTCCTTTAGTGGCACCTGATCAAACTAACTTGGCTAATATTCTAGCCAGAGCACTGCTGTAAATTTCCAAAGAGAAATTGCCATTATACATAGAGTCAGCAGCTGTGGCTTTTACTAGTGGATATGGAAAAGACTCCAGCAAACCAAGTTCTAGTCAATTGCCATGAGAAATGCAGGAAGTTAAAACACCACTGACATAAGAAAACCCACTCCCCAGAAATCAGTATGCCATTTAAGTCGGGCTAGGATGAACTGATGGTTCAGCCATGCTATTGAGATGTACTTTAGGTTTATAATACTAAAAAAAAAAAAAAGTGGCAGGGGGAGGACTTCTAGATAAGGCTTTTATTGTCAAAATATCAAGCCACCTTCTCAGAATTTTTGAGAGAGCTGACTGACTACTGATGTCTTCCAGTAATTATCCTCCTGTACATTCCCATCTCTCCCAGATATTTTAATTACCATATTGGGGAAAAACAGTAAAGGGGAAGACAGAATAAAGTTGGGAAAGGTGGCAAAGGCAGAATGCCTTGTGGCTGTTACTGCTTCAACCCCTTTTCCTGGGCACACCCAAAGAAAGTTGAGACTGGTAGGATTGGCTGTACAGCCCATGCTTCAAATATAGTCCAGTTGTGCAAAGCCTTGAAGCAAGTTCTTTACGAAGTGCAGGGGTGCACGTGAAGCCTCTTTTCAGATTGCGAGAGCAGCCGTGTCATTTGCAAGTCCTGGATGGCTGCTTCTGAAGTTGGTCCTTGTTACTTTAACAATTAAAATGAGAAGCTTTGTATGTACATGTCAAAACCTTATAGTATTGTGGAGATAAGAACCTTGGGGAAACCACAGTATGACATGGTATGTTTAAATGCAAAGAAGTACTTAAAACTGACTATATCAATGTGGAAAAGTGAAATGCTTTTGAAAATATATTTTGAAAACAGGACATTAAGAATTCACAAATTGCTTATTTTTTAAAAAACTATTTTATAATGTACAACGGGGATTGTCATGCAAGCTCGATGATTCACACTGGCATCTCTACTCCTGACATAAAGGAGCAGGATGACATTAAGTAAATGGAAAACATCTGGGGTGTGCAAAGACATGCAGTCTACGTGCTTTTTATTCATCGTTTAAGTACATAAAATGTTTTGTCTAAGGCCAGGTCCAGTAAAGAAAAAATAATAAAGTTCAAAGCCAGGGTTTTCTCTTTTATTCACAGCAGACATATAATAAACTATCACTTTAAGCAAATAAAAATGTACACCAAATGCCGGTCTCTCTCTGTAAGTATAAATGCATGGCTTCAATAAAGTAAAAGGCTCTGGAGTGGGGGTTTTTTCACTTTGCCAATTCATGGCTTTGATTCAGAGCTCTGTGAATACTCTAATGGGCACACAGTTTTTCTATGAGCGAGCTTTTTCTTAGCAGAGGGATCAGCTCTACTCTGTACCTCCATCTTATGTATAAACACTCAAAACCATTCAGACATCTATAGTATGTCGTCATCATCATCATCTGTGCATTGTATTACAGAGGTTTACACTGCACAGAGTTTGATGATGATGATGATGATGAACATTTTTATGCAATTTATTGATTTTGGAGCATTAACACAACTATGTGCATAATGAATCTACACTGTGACAAGGTGTCAGGCTTTTACCCAACTAATATTCAAACACTGTTCAAATGCATTTAGCCTGAATAACACAGAAAGCAAGCTATTGCAAACTAGACCCAAGCCTTATATAGAGCAGACCTCTTATCTATCTAATCCTATATCTTTTTCCCAGCTTATGGATGGAGAGCCACTTTTTCTCGGTGGGAGAAGAGACAAGCACCTTATTGTAACAGATCAGTCTGGCTTTAGACTCTTTGCTTATGATTTTGCCCAATTTCTTCCTCATGCAAAGGTAGTTAATTGTAAAGAAAATTCACATTCATTTACTTACTTCACAGTAATTATTATTCATGTTGTTTCTTGCTGATGAGCAACACTGGGTGATTGCTGAATGAATTAGCTTCTTAAAACTAGAGTACACTGCCTTCCCCAGCATTTATAGCTGCTGATAACCAACCTGAGCCAATCTGAATGAACACTAGTGGTTACTTTTCAATCTAAATATCACCTCCACTATCTCATATAAGTTATTTCAAAATTCAAGTGCAACATTCTATCCTGGGATCAAACCTGCCCCAAAGATTTGAAGCACCAGGGATCCCTCTCTGTCATGCTTCCAGGCATGGTGTGTCTAGTACAACTTCTAGGGCCAATGTGCACAGACTGCATTATGTCAACAACAGCCACCAGGCAGCCTGAGCAGCACTGGGAACTTGAGTTCCTCCCTAAAATTGTCATTTGCATATCAAGAAACGCTCCCACTGGCACCAATGGAGACTTCCCTTGAAATATAAACTGAAGCTTTGCAAAAGAAATTTTAGACATAACTGTGGCAAAAAGAGAAAGGCAAAAGTCATACATGTTAAACTGCATTCACACAATTAACAGCATGTACAATGTGTCCCTAGAACACTTATGTCCACTTTCCTAATCATAAGAAACACTCTTATGGAATAGTGGAATTATCTGTCCTGTGACAAACACTGAAATGTATGCACTGTATATGCTTTGCCGTGTTCAGTCATAGGTTTTGTAAGGACAGCTGAGGACCAAGGAATATGTTCTACTCAGGCTGTTTACAGTTTCACTAACTCGATCAGAACCACTGTTTCTCATATTTCAGAATTCTATTTGCAAGTGTTTCACTTGTTTGTTCTTCTTCTTTAGTCAAGGAACATTGGCAGATCCTCTTCTGCAAAAATTTCCCCACTCCTCTGAGATCAGTTTCTGTTTCAGTCTCTTCCATACTGTGTTTACCTTATGGGACTTGCCCATTAATTCAGACACCAGCTGCATGCACCTCTCCTGGAGTACAGAGGCTTTTTTGTCTGGGAGGGACATGTGGTATCAATTTATCACTCCCCACAATGCAACAAGAAATCCACTTGCTGGGGGGGGGGAGGGATGAGGAAGAACTGTGTGACTTCTCTTAAAAGCACCCCCACCCAATATTTTTAAAAATAAACCTACAGATTAGCAAGATGAGATACAGCTGGTGGATATGGGATTCTTGTTATATGAGTGTCTGACTCTGTAAATTTAATATACCAGTCCATTTGCAATCCCAAAGAAAGGGTTCCAGTGTACTGTACATTACTACAACTAGATGCAAACAATTAAAGTAAGTCTCTATTTTCACAACATATCATTTGGAAGTGATTAACAGTCAGGAGCAGCTTCTGATTAGTCACTTCGAGTAGTTGTTTTAGCCTCCTTGAATGTCTTTCTGAGCTGAAAAACAGGGTACAAATAATTTACAAGCACTGAAAAAATTCTCTAATGAGGCTGTTGTATTCTAAATGCATTGTGCAATAGTATGCAAGTTTATTATGGAAATTATTTTACTCTTATATGGAAGGGATATTAATTGTATTTATATTGTTTTTAAATAACATCTCCAGAAATCTCCCTTTCAGGTCACTGATTATATCTGAACTTGGGGTTCTTTTGTGTGGCAGCCTTCAATCTAATGTATAAACCAGGTAGAAATGAAGTTGGCTTCAAAAAATCATTTCTGATGTCCATTTCTTCCTCCATCACTTTGACCAAGTGGATAACTTCATATTTTGCCTAGAGAGCTGTTAAGAGGGCCCACAGCTGGTGGATTCCCCTGCTCCTTTACCTCTCCCACCCATGCAGGGAAAGCATTAGTTGCTTTCCTCTTGTTGGACATGTGTTCTGAGGACTGGTGAAAACATACCACACACACAACACAGTTTCACAATTTTTCTCTGCTCTTTGATTAGAAGAGGAAACTGGCAGGACTCTTGCCAATTACACTGATAAAAAAGAAAGTGCCACAACAGTATGACTGACAGAGGAAGGAAGGAAGGAAGGAAGGAAGGAAGGAAGGAAGGAAGGAAGGAAGGAAGGAAGGGAGGGAGGGAGGGAGGGAGGGACGGAGAGATTCACTCCCAGAGTTTTAAATTTTTAATGAAAGTTGAGCTAGGAGAAGAAACTGGCAAAACTCTTAATTTCACATTATAAAAAATGGAAATTTCACCATTCTACTCCTGAACTTGATTGTGCAATGAAACAAAGGGTTCGGGGCAGGGGTGGGGGAGAACAGGGGAAGGGAAGGGAAGGGAAGGGAAGGGAAGGGAAGGGAAGGGAAGGGAAGGGAAGGGAGGTCCCCAGTCTACTTGGCAGGCAAGCCAAAAGCCCAGGATGCAATGGTCATTCCAGCACAGGGCCTGGAAGGGAGGAGGCATTCCTGTCACAGCACACTCAAGCCAATAGGAGCAGAGCCGCT